AGGTCACGGATAATTGGTACACGAGCCCCGTTGGCGGAGTCTTTGCTTTCGTAAGCAGCGACCTATGGGTAATATTAGAACGACTTCGTAGGGGATACCTCCAACTGTATCCTAGAAAGCTCGAGAGAGATGAATCATGCTATCTCCAGAACAACAATAGCATACTACTTCTCAAGTGGAGGACAAGAGAAACATGTTTTCATCAAGCATGATGTAGGTCGTGGCACCAATATGAACCCTCAGTTTGCAGAAGGTTACAACAATCTGGAAGGGATCGTTGGTGAAAACACCAGATGGTGGCGTACACACTATTGTACGGTGGAATTCGAAGTGGTACCCAAGGCTGTTTCACTATCTAATTAGGCAAAATTTGGCCAGCCTTTGTTAGTGTACAACATGAGCGCGAGTGCTAAGACCAGCTAAATGAATTCAAATACGCAAATGTTAAGTCGAGGCTGGATTTTAGTGAAAGAGCCAGCACTAACCAAAGAAAGAAAAGGAAGCTGGTCCAAATTGAATAGATTAAGGCCAAGGATCGACGACGATGTGACAATCTGTTACCGTAGGCTAGTGAATGAAAAGGGCGAACGACGCTAACAACAGCAGCTATACAAAGAGGATTAGGACTCAGTGCACCAAACGTGGAGGCCTCGTTTGCATCGACTGTTCCCAAACTAAGACACATCTTGCTCCAGTCTCTAGTTTGTTCTGTTATGCGTCTGCATCTTCTGTTATGTTGTGCTAGCGTAAAATTCCTGATATGTGAAAAAAGAATCTCTCTTAGCAAGCTCGCCAGTGTTTGAAGGTAAGTTAGCATTTGCATGAGGCTCACGCAACTTTACGTGGCCTATCAGCTCAAAAGTATCCGAGGAGAAGCGTTTGTTGGCGGTTGTCGAAGCTTTCCATTCCTAGAAGTCCACCGAGTCGATGACCAATCCGATGATGTCGTCCTTAACGCAACACCCTCAGCAGATGAGTACTTGACTGTAGCCGTCCAAGATTAGGTAACTTTATTAGGCTAACGTTTCGGCTTCTTCGCCTTCGTCAGAGCCTGAAAAAGTCAAAAACAAATGTGACTTGACCGCTCAAACGCCTCCACAATACTGAAGACGATTTCCATATTTAAGTAAACCGAATAAGGAATCGGTCGATAAAGATATGCTACCAGGCCTACCTTGATCAACGCATTTCGGCAAGGAACCTTCAAGTCAATAGAAAGGAAGAGTGTTTCAGCCATTACCCGTGAACTCGCGCCCTTCTCCGACCTCTGCGGGTTTTGATCTACATGAGGTCAGGTCGAGGTTGAGGTCGAGAGGGTGGAGGTGGTGGTGTTCAGTAAGCACAAGCTAAGTCCTTCGAGGGTGGTCGCCCTCGCGTCACGGCGGCGTTGATCAAGGTCTAGTTATCGATCGATACCGTTAGGTGGTTTACTAAGATATGGAAATGTCTTCAGTATTGTGGAGGCGTTTGAGCGGTCAAGTCACATTTGTTTTTGACTTTTTCAGGCTCTGACGAAGGCGAAGAAGCCGAAACGTTAGCCTAATAAAGTTACCTAATCTTGGACGGCTACAGTCAAGTACTCATCTGATCCAACAATGCCAAGATTAAAAGAAAGTCGATCCGGACGACCCCCAACACAGTTCCTGTCGAGAATCTAACGTGAGCGGAATAGTTTAGTCTACGCGTATCACAGATGAACCGCTGTGTACCTCGAAATTTCGCGTCGGTGGCGCTAGGGTCTTTCGAATTCAGTTTTTGAGACTAACCAATTGGATGAGTGATGCCGCGAACACCCCATGATGTGCAGCGTGGACTACGGTATAGCGGCTACTTTCAATACGTCATGATAGTTGAGACGTGGAGCAGGCTACTTCGTAAAACTCGTCCAGCCTCCCCCTTCCTTGTCTCAATTCCTTGCTCGGGGCTTCAGGATGGTACTCATTGCTTCTTTTCTCATTTTCTGCCAACTCGTCATTCGCGGTCCCATTGTCCATCCCACAAATTCGATATGGGGGTGCTGTTGCTTACTTAGATACGAAACTCTCTCAAACATGCCAACACTCAGAAAACACGAAGCCTCTGCTCTACTCTCGGAGGACTCTAATGGTAAGAAGTAGACAGGGGAAAGATTATAGTGTGAGTGCGGAAAGATGAAGGAAGTCGAGTCAAGAGAGCACAGCAGGTCAACATTAGAACACAGATAAAGTAGCGAATAGAAGGCGGTACGGATGAATTCAGGACTTTGATCCTCCCGAGTGTGAAGCGGGAACTACCCGTTCCTCACCCATGGAATAATATGCGTCAATCTCGTCACCAACCGGCTCGTGATTCTTCGCTGAAAGAGTACTCAGTATAGGAAAAGAACGTACTTGAAAAGGCATTGAGAGCACAGTTGCGGGATAATGTAATAATATGAAGAATTTTATTGTGAGGGGAAATAAACAGGCTTCCCAGGAGTCCAATTCTATCTCTCCTGGTAAGGTCGCCGTCGATGGATGTCATAGCACAAATCCCCACTACTTCTTTATCAACATGTTGTTTTCAGATCCAACCAGTACCTGGTCAATATCTCGTTGGTAGGGAGGTATACGCTTTCATCGCCTTTCAACGCATTCCTGGGCCACTGGCGAAGGATCATGACGTTATGTACCACATAGAAAATCTAAATGGTAAGTTTGGCTGTATACAGTGCGCGTCAATTGCTTATGCCACCCCTGATTTTTTCAGTTTTCTGACTTATTTGGAAATTTCGTAAATCGGCATAGCAACCATCGTTTTCGGCGTGTCGGAAAACTAAGAATGGTGTTGTTTGATTTTGGTTAACGCGTGGATTTGAATTGCTCTGTTCTTTTGAAGAAAATGGGCCGCGTCAATTGCTTATGCCACCCCTGATTTTTTCAGTTTTCTGACTTATTTGGAAATTTCGTAAATCGGCATAGCAACCATCGTTTTCGGCGTGTCGGAAAACTAAGAATGGTGTTGTTTGATTTTGGTTAACGCGTGGATTTGAATTGCTCTGTTCTTTTGAAGAAAATGGGCCGCGTCAATTGCTTATGCCATCCTAAAGTTTCTTCAGAATTTCTCATGTCTCTAACGCTATTCAGCTACGGTGTGCATGTAATACAAATGAGAAAATCCTCGAATTGCAAAGCACACAAACGGTGGAGCATTTGTAACTAATTAGTTGGGAATATTAGCCCTTATACTGGACGGTAGCAGCGTGAAAACGTCTCATCAGAGAAAGAGCTGTGTGCTCCCTTTTGCGATCGCTCCTGCTGCTTATCA